CAGCAGCAGCAGCAGCAGCAGCAGCAGCAGGTGGTGTGGGGTTTTGTTTTGCTGCAGCTGCAGACTTTAGGGGAAGTTGCTGCTGCTCGCGGCCGCGTCGTGACGCACAGTTATGTCTTTATATCGGACGAGGGACATCCTGCTGCTGCTGCTGCTGCTCCCGCAGCAGCAGCAGCATCCCCTCCCGCAGCAGCATCCCCGCCCGCAGCAGCAGCAGCCGAGTCCCAGACGCCGCACTCCCCCTCCCCCCCCCCAGCAGCAGCAGCAGCAGCAGCAGCAGCAGCAGCAGCAGCAGGGCCGCGAGGCTCGAAGCCGCGCGAGCTGTGGCTGCTGCTGTCGCAGCTGGAGGGGTCCAGTGGTCACCTCAGCGCTGCAGTCAGCCTGGGGTCCAGTGGACCAGTGGACCTGCGGCGGTTCGTGTCAGTGCCGATGCGAGCAGCAGACCGAAAGCCCAGCAGCAAACCCCGCTCGCTGCGGCAGGAGATTGTTGCTGCTGTTGCTGAAGGCGCCACTCACGATTTGCTGCTGCCTGCTGCCATCCGCAGCAGCAAACACCACGTCAAGGGGCTGCCTGCGCTCCGCAGGCAGCAAGACGCCGATGTTCTTGGCTGCTTCTGGACGGGTCTGCTGCTGCTGCTGCTGCTGCTGCTGCTGCTGCTGCTGCGGGGCTGCGGGGGGCGCGGGGGGCGCGAGGCTGCTGCTGCTGCTGCTGCGGCTGCTGGTCGGGCGCGGATAGGCGGGGAGGGGTGTGCTGCTAAAGAGGGGCCGAGGGCTTGCTTGCGATGCTGCTGCTGCTGCTGCTGCTGCTGCTGCTGCTGCTGCTGCTGCTGCTGCTGCTGCTGCTGCTTGTTGCTGCGACGGGAGTGGCGGTGGCCGCGCGGTTGTTGTTGCTGCTGCTGCCGTTGCAGCTCTTTGCTTGTTGCTGTTTGCGAGGCTGCGACAGCCGCTGCTGCCGCTGCAGTTGGAGCTCATGTCCTCGCTGCTGCTGCTGCTGCTGCTGCTGCTGCTGCTGCTGCTGCTGTTTGCTGCAGGCCCTCATCTGGGCAAAGACGAGATCATCGTGGCGGGCGCGTACTTGGGGGAAGTGCGTTACGACACAATCCAGGCGAAGGCGATGGAGCGGGAGTGCAGCAGCAGCAGCAACAGCAGCAGCAGCAGCAGCAGCAGCAGCAGCAGCAGCAGCAGCAGCAGCAGCAGCAGCAGCAGCAGCGTGTGGGAGCCGCGCGTGTGCCTCTCGCCGCTGAAGCGCATGCAAATGGACTACGGGATGAGCTGCGGGTGGGATGCTGGCAGCAAAAACTTTGTGCTGCCGAAGGCGCAGCGGCGAATAGTTTTTCACAAACTTGCCAGCAGCAACAAAGAAAAAGAAAAAGAAAAAGAAAAAGAAAAACAAAAAGGCAGCAGCAGACACAAGAGACTCCACGCCGCCGACGAAGCACACAAACCCATTCCCACCGAAGGTCAGTCTGCAGCAGCAGCAGCAACAGCAGCAGCAGCAGCAGCAGCAGCAGCAGCAGCAGCAGCAGCAGCAGCAGCAGCAGCAGCAGCAGCAGCAGCAGGAGCAGCAGCAGCAGCAGCAGTACTAGCAGCAGCAGGGCAGCAGCAGCGGGAGTAGCAGTAGGGGCAGCAACAGCGGTAGCAGGAGTAGCAGCAGTAACAGCAGTATAAGGAGCAGCAGCAGCAGCAGCAGCAGCAGCAGCAGCAAACTGCTGCTGCATTGTGCCACTTCTTGTGCGTAGCCGGTTCTTTCTGTGTCTGCTGCTGCTCATGTGTCTGCTGCTGTTTTAATTTTTATTTTCCAATTATTTTTAATTTTAGTTTTTATTTTTAATTTTATTATTTTAGTTTTAATTTTTTAATTTTAATTTCAGATTTTCACTTTAATTTCTTTGGAGCTGTTTAAAGTTGTTTTGCTGCTGCATGAATTCTTTACTTATGAAGTATATATTCTTTCAATATTAATTTAATTTAATTTATTTTATTTTATTTTATTTTATTTTATTTTAATTTATTTTTAATTAAAATGAATTTTCAAATTTGTTCCGTGGCTTTGAATGACTGCACTGGGGTGTACGTACACCTGCTTTCTGCTGCTGCTTGAATTTGATTTTTGTTTTTTTCTTTTTTGATTTATTTTTCATCAAATAAACAATTTGTTTGCCACTTTGTTCTTATTATTCCATATCTCTCGCTGTTGCTGCTGCTGCCTTTGCTGCTGCTGCTTCTGCTCTTGCTGCTGCTGCTGCTACTGCTGCTCTTGCTGCTGCTGCTGCTTCTGCTCTTGCTGCTACTCCTCTCCCTGCTGCTGCTGCTTCTGCTCCTGCTCCTGCTGACGCTACCCCTGCTGCTACCCCTGCTGCTACCCCTGCTGCTACCCCTGCTGCTGCTGCTGCTGCTACCCCTGCTGCTGCTGCTGCTGCTGCTGCTGCTGCTGCAGAGCTGGGCCTGCAGGCGGACGGCAGCATAGTGCTGCCGGGGCGAGAGTGGATGTGCATCGACGCTGGCCATTTTTTCAACATAACTTCTTTGATGAATGACTCCAGGTCCATTTTGGAAGTCCGCAGACTCGCAGACACCTTCATCTTCCACGAGGCACGCAAACCCTAAACCCTAAACCCTAAACCCTAAACCCTAAACCCTAGGTCTGCGTTCGCGCGCTGCTGGTGAGAGTTTCGGGCGCACTGGGGGTTAATTGTAAACACACTTCACGCGCAGTCCAGTTAGAGGACAAGCACAAACCTAACTCGAAGCCCTAAACCCTAAACCCTAAACCCTAAACCCTAGAAAGGAGTTTGCAGAGTGCCGCTGGCGCAGCTTTGTGGCGCGGGCGGCTGGCCGCGGCGTGTGCGCCGCGGGTCCGCGCCGCGGCGAGGGTTTAGGGTTTAGGGTTTAGGGTTTAGGGTTTAGGGTTTGCAGGTGCACTACGAGGGTTTTCCGTACTTGGTGCTTTTCAAAAAACTCGGAGAAGTGCTGCAGCACATGCAAGAGGCTCTGGTGAATTGCGGGCCTTTATTTCGGCTGGGCCATTTGCAGCCGCTGTGCGAGGCGGCGCTGTACGAAGAGGCGGACGCGCAGCCCGCGCGGGGCACCAAGGCGAGCCGATCGCCCCCTAAACTCCGTTTTTTTCCGAGTTTTCGCTCACAGCATCCTCTTATTTGCATTTTCAAACACTTTTGCCGAAAAAAAGAATTAAAAATCCGATTTTTTGACCCCAAATTGACCACTTGACTCTGCGCTTCCCCCGCCGGCGGGCGGCGCCGGGTGTACGTACACCCGGCGACGCCCGCCGCGCTTCCGCGGCCAATTCCGTTTATGGGCTTTTATATTTATTTGTTTATTTTTATTTATTTATTTGTTTCTTTATTCCTTTATTTATTTCTCCTTCTTTCCTGCTTATTTGCTCCTTTTCGTGGACTTGTTTGCCTGCGCAGCCGAGCTGTCTTCAGCTGCTGTTAATACACACCGAAAATAAACAGCACAAGTGCTTGCATGCACTGCTGCTGCTGCTGTTGCTGCTGCTGCTGCTGCTGCTGTTGCTGCTGCTGCTGCTGTTGCTGCTGCTGCTGCTGTTGCTGCTGCAGGAGTTTGAGGAAGTGCCTGTGCTGAAGCTGTGCGCGATGGACTGGGAAGAGCGCCACGACTTGATGGATTCTTTTTCCCGCACAAAGAGGGCCAAGGAGGTCTGCGCCGCCAAACCCTAAACCCTAAACCCTAAACCCTAAACCCTAAACCCTAACCCTAACTGTACTCTGGACGAAGAGAAGACACCCCGCAACACGAGCAGCAGAACACCGGCCATCGAGGCTCTCGAGCCAGTTTCGCCGCACCAGCAGCAGTTTAGGGTTTAGGAATTAGGGTTTAGGGTTTAGGGTTTAGGGTTTAGGGTTTTTTGCGTGGCCGCAGACCCAAGGAGTGCAGGCGATATGGGAGTCTGACGAAGAAGTGGATTTGGCCTTCTGAGGGTTTTGCTTTTCTTTATTTCGGCTGCTGCTTTTGTCTATTTATTTATTTATTTATTTAATTTATTTATTTTATTAAATGAAATTTAATTCAATAGTAAATTTAATTTAACTTCTTTTCTTTTCGCTGGGGGCTCCAGCAGGGATGTGGATAATATATCATTTGTTTTAAAAAGTATTTTCCTTTTTATATTTTAGTATGTCGTGGCTAGCTGTATTTAGCTGTGGCTGGCTAGAGCTAGCCGTGGCTGGCTGCAGCTAGCCATGGCTAGCTGCAGCTAGTGTGGCTAGCTACAGCTAGCTGTGGCTAGCCGCAGCTACTGTGGCTAGCTAGAGCTAGCTGCTGCAGCTAGCCGTGGCTAGCAGCAGCTAGTGTGGGTAGCTGCAGCTAGCTGCGGCTAGGTACAGCTAGCTGTGGCTAGCTGCAGCTAGCTGCGGCTAGGCACAGCTAGCTGTGGGTAGCTGCAGCTAGCTGTGGCTAGCTGGGGCAGGGCGTGGCTGCATAGAGCTTCGGCCCGGCAGCGACTACCAAAACTCCTGTGGGACAGCAGCACAGCTGCTGCTGCAGCTGCTGCTGCAGCTGCTGCTGCTGCAGGAGCGGCTGCAGCACCACCGCTGCAGCAGCACTGCTGCAGCTGCAGCAGCAGCAGCTGCTGCCGAGTCGGGTGCGACGGCCTCAGGTGTACGTACACCCTGCAGCAGCAGCAGCAGCAAGGAACTGCAGCTGCTGCCTTTACAAACTTGGGGGATGCATTTGGCAGCAAAATGACTTAGCAGCAGAAGCAGCAAAGTGAGCAGTGACAGCGCAGCGTGCTGCAGCAGCAACACTATGTGCTGCTGCTGCTGGCTGTGGGGAGCTGAGACCCGAGCAGCCAAAGTACTTTAATAGCAGCAGCAGCAGCAGCAGCAGCAGCAGCAGCAGCAGCAGCAGCGCGGACGTAGCAGCAAGGGGGGCCCCATCGCGGGCTTGGGGCCCCCGGCAGCAGAGACGGAGAAGCAGATGGTCTGCAATTAGACATTTAGAATTAAATTAAATTACTTTTAATTAATTTTTAATAAAAGAGTTTTCGAAAAGGACCGGAGGAAGGTCCCAAGTGAGACAGCTGGGGGCTGCGGTGCTCTGCTGCTCCTGCTGCAGCAGCAGCAGCAGGAAGAGCAGCAGCAGCAGCAACTGCTGCTGCTGCTGCTCGCAGGCCCGCGCACTGTAGAGACGCAGCTCTTTTTTAATTTGCAAATTGTCCTCGTGAGCTACCGCGCTGACGACTTGCTGCTGAGAGCAGCAGCAGACGCCGTGCCTGCTGCTGCTGCTGCTCCAGCTCCTGCTGCTGCTGCAGCTGCTCGCTGCAGCGCCAACAGCAGCAGCTTCCCCAAAATACAGCTTTCGACCTCAACATAACCAGCAGAAGACACGGCTGCATGCGCAGCGGAGCGCGAGGCAGCAGCAGTGTGCAGCAGCAGCAGCAGCAGCAGCAACAGCAGCAGCAACCACAGTTCCTGGAGCGCCGCCCGCAGACTGCAGCAGCAGCAGCACCTGCTGCTGCAGCACCGAGGCCTAATGGGAGACAGTGTCGCGGAGCTGCCGCGGGCCGCAGCTAACGGGGACTATGATCTGGAGCAGCAGCAGCAGCAGCAGCAGCAGCAGCAGCAACTGCAGCAGCAGCAGGAAACGGAGCAGCTACAGCAGCAGGCAGAGCAGCTGCTGCAGCAAATAAAACGAGACCCTTGGAAAGCTGCCTATTATGAAGCAGCACTTCGGGTGCTTACAGCCTTGGGGCACACAACCAAGGCGAGCTGCTGCTGCTCGTGCTGCTGCTGCTCTTGCTGCTGCTGTTGTTGCTGCTGTTGGAGCTGCTGCTGCTGCTGTTGCTTGTACTAACGCTGCTGCTGCTGCTGCAGCTGCAAACGGTTGGTGGCGTCTGCTGCAGCGCCAGCGGGCACCGCAGCCGCTGACAGTGAACCGTCCTGCTGCTTGCTGCTGCTGCTGCTGCTGCTGCTGCTGCTGCTGCTGCTGCTGCTGCTGGGTGCACAGATTCGAGAAGTGCAGCGGGCGTACGCAGAGCACTGCCCCATCGACGAGGAGCTGCTGCTGCAGTGGTTTGACGCTGAGCGGCGGCAGAGCAGCAGCAGCAGCAGCAGCAGCAGCAGCAGCCTGTGCAGCATCCCGCGCAGCAGCACGGGCAGCAGCACGCCGACGACGCCCAGCGCCGGCAGCCAGACTGGCCACAGCAGCAGCAGCAGCAGCAGCAGCAGCAGCAGCAGCAGCAGCGTAGACGAGGCGAAGGCGCTGCTGGAGCTGGGGCTGCGGCTGCAGCCGTCTGTGTCGCTGTGGCTGCAGTACATTCGCCACCTGGAGGGAGCAGCAGCAGCAGCAGCAGCAGCAACAGCAGCAACAGCAGCAGCAGCAGCAGCAGACAGAGAATGGCAAGTTCGTTTTGCCTTCGAAAATGCTCTTTGCACTTTCCAGCTGCATGCACTTGAGGGCCCCTGTTTGTGGGGCGCTTACCGGCACTTCGAGGCGCAGCTGCTGCGGCACTGGCAGAGCAGCAGCAGCAGCAGCAGCAGCAGGCAGCAGCAGCAGCAGCAGCAGCAGCAGGTCCAACTCCAAATCGCCCGCATCCGCACTCTCTTCTACAGGCAGCTGCAGCTGCCTCTCGGAGGCCTCGGCGATTTGCTGGATGAGTACAGGTGCGGTGTACATACACTGCTGCTGCTGCTGCTGCTGCTGCTGCTGCAGTTGCTGCTGCAGTTGCTGCTGCAGTTGCTGCTGCAGTTGCTGCTGCAGTTGCTGCTGCGGCGCTGTCCGCGCTGTTGCCGTGCCCGCCCTGCCAGGCTTTCGCGCTGCAGAGCCTAGGGTTTAGGGTTTAGGGTTTAGGGTTTAGGGTTTAGGGTTTGAGTGCAGGGTTTGGGAGCTGGAGCACACTGGCAGCGAGGCTGCCTTTTCTGTGGGGGCTTCTTTGCATGCTGCTGCTGCTGCTGAATGGAGCCGCAGCAGAAAAGCTTTCGAAATGAAAGTCCAAAACGCCCTTGAAGAGGACCAGGCCAACAGACAAATACATGTACAAACCCTGCTGCTGCTGCTGCTGCTGCTGCTGCTGCTGCTGCTGCTGCTGCTGTGGGTGGCGGGGGCGCGCAGCAGCAGCAGCAGCAGGAGCACGCGGGCGAGGAGGGCGCCGAGGCGGCCGTCGCTGCAGCCACGGCTGAGGCTGCTGCTGCTGCGGAAGCTGCTGCTGCAGCGGAGGCTGCTGCTGCTGCTGCTGCTGCGGAAGCAGCAGAGGCGGGCCAGCAGACGACGGAGGCCGCAGCCGCGGCCCAGGCTGCTGCTGCCGTCGCGGCAGCCAAGGCTGCTGCAGCAGCAGCAGCAGCAGCAAGACGAAAGGGCCTTTCTGCTTCCTTTCTGCTGCATGCCCATCGCCAAGTGCTGCAGCGAGCCATCCGACACTTCCCCCAGGACTTCCAGCTCTGGTGCAGATACCTCGCCTCCCTAGTGCGTCCCGCTGCTGCTGCTGCTGCTGCTGCTGCTGCTGCTGCTGCTGCTGCTGGTGTTGCTGTGGCGCCGGGCGGAGTCGCTTTCTGCTGCTGTGGGGCTGTTGCTGCTGCTGTTGCTGCTGCCCAAACTCTCATGTCAGTTGTCTGCGATTAAGCGCCGGGCTGCGCCAGTGCCTCACACGGCCGTGCTTCCTTTTGCTGCTGCTGCTGCTGCTGCTGCTGCTGCTGCAGGGAAATGGCGGCGCGTCCTTAGCTGCCATCTGCAGGGCCAGGGATTCTGCTGCTGCTGCATGCAGCGGGCGGCCCAAGGCCGGGGTGCACATACACCTGGCTTGTGCTGATGCAGCAAAGGCGCTCGCGCTGCGCGTTGCTGCAGCAGCAGCAGCAGCAGCAGCAAAGGGGGACAGCAGCAACCAGCAGCAGCACCTCCTCGTCCAAGAAGCTGCTATTCATGAGGCGCTGCAAGCTCTTGCCCACGCGGAGCAGCTCGCTGAGCAGACCTGTGCGGACGCTGCAGCATCAGAGCAGCAGCAGCAGCAACAG